AGAGGATGCTGAGAAAAAGGAACCCTCATACACTGCTTGTGGAACTGTAAATTGGTACAGCCACTACGGAAAACAGTATGGAGGTCTCTCAAAAAACTAAGAATGGATCTGCCATATGATCCAGCAATCCTTCTACTGGGTATTTACCCCAAAGACTTGAAAATCTATATTAAAAAGATATTTGCACACCGATGTTCATAGCAGTATTATTTACAGTGGCCAGGACATAGAAGCAACCGAAGCATCCTACAATAGATGATTGGCTAAAGATGCTGTGGTACATATATACAATGGAATATTACTCAGCCATAAGAAGAGGTGAAATACTGCCGTTTGCAACAACATGGATGGACCTCAAGATAATCATGCTAAATGAAATAAGCCAAACAGAAAAAAATTGAAAATCACATGATATCACTTATATGTAGAATATAAATCTAAAAGCAACAAATGAACAAGACAAACAAACAGACTCATGGTTATGGATAATAGACTAGTAGTTACCAGAGGGATAAAGTAGAAAGGGTAAAGGGAGTCAAATATGTGGTGACAGAAAGAAATATAACTATGGGAGGTGAACACACAGTGTAAACATATATATGCCTTACTGGTAAAGTGTACAGCTGAAATTTATTGGATTTCGTTAACCAATGTCACCATAAAAAATAAATTTAAAAAAGAGAGAGATAAAATACTGCTGTTTGCAACAACATGGATGGTCCTCGAGATAATCATGTTAAGTGAAATAAGCCAGACCAAAAATGTGAAAATCACATGATATCACTTACATGTGGGAAGTAAAGCTAAAAGCAACAAACAAACATGACAAACAGAGACTCATGAACATAGACAGTGGGCTAGTGGTTACCAGAGTGTGGCAAGGGAGGGAAGGGGAAGGTAGACGCAATAAAAGGGGTCAAATATGTGGTGACAGAAAGAAATCTAACTATGGGCTATGAACACACAATGCAATATATATTTATGACTTACTGTTGAATTGTACATTTGAAACACTGGATTTTGTTAACCAATGTCACCATAATAAAAAAGAAAAAGAAAAACATACACTGATTTGATAGGCAAGAATATTTTATTATTTACTGTAGCAAAATGTTGACACTCAATAAATAACATTTATTGCAAGTCCCTAAGGCCAATGACATCACAAACTGTGGTATGTTTCCTGAATGGAATGGTATGGATATTGACATATTGACAACTGCATGTTCCTGTTTCTATGTGATTTATCGGGGGACATTTTACTCAAACTTTAGAAGGTTGAATCGAATTACCAGTTACTCTTCTGCTAGGCTGGGGTGACAGTAGAGCAGTGAGAAGGGCCATATCTTGAAAGTTTGTGTTCCAGTGTGCATCAGTGCTCTGCCAGTTCGCACACCAGTTCCGTATGCACTCACCAAGCTCTGGCACAGAATGTATGTGATACTACTGCAACAACTCTCTTGCTCTGAGAAAAAAGTCACATTCTTTTGGCCATGGGAAAAATAAATGTAATCATACCCAAGTCATTTCTGAAGTTAGTGAGAAAGCAGTAACTGCCCTAGAATTTGCCCAGCCAGGTAGAGAAAATGTTTTCAAAGGTCTCAAAGAATTTACAGTGAGGAAACACAAAAGAACAAACCTTTATATGCAAAATATAAGCTTACACAAGTGGCAACGTGTTAACATCCAGTCTGACACATAACCATGCATGTGTGCTGTTGAGTTTAGAATGACTTGTGCTGGAATTAGTGGTGAAGAATGGTCATGTGAAGATTCTCTAGGGAATGAGTTTTAAAAACTGAGAGGGTCTCCAGAAACCCATGCTTTGAGTACTGGTTGTGCCACTTATTAACTGAGAGAGACCAAAGTGAATTATTTAAACACTTTCATCTTTGGTAACAGCATAAATCAAAGTAATAATGGATTCTTCTACCAAGTTTATTATCTTACAGTTGTCTAGGTCAGAAGTCTGACATGAGTCTCACTTTGATTAAAATCAAGGCATCAGCAGGGCTGCATTTCTTTCTAGAGGGCCTAGGGGAAAATCAATAACCTTGCCTTTTCTCCTTCTAGAGGCTGTCTGCATTCCTTGGCTTATGGTCTCCTTCTGTCATCTTCAAAGCCAGCCAGAGCAGATCAAGTCCTCACGCTGCCATCTTTCTGGTTATCCACTTTTAAGGGCTCATGTGGTTAGACTGGATCCACCCAGACAATCCAGGATACTCTCTCCATCTCAAGGTCTTCAGTTTTAATCACATCCGAAAAGTTACTTCTGCCATGTAAAGGTAACATATTCACAGATTCTAGACATTAAGATGTGGACATCTTCAGGGGTCATTATTTTACCTACCACAAACATTTGACATAATATCTTGGACATAGAATATATAATAAAATATTGTTTTGTTGTTATTGTTTTTGTTACATGATAAATAATAAAATATTTCAGGCCAAGACATTTTTCATGGTGAAAGAGATTGGGTGGTGGGGCAAGATAAGAATGAAAGCAGGGAGAATAGTTAGAAAATTGCTGAAATTATCCAGGTAGGAGATAATTGTGACTTGGATAAGGGAGGCATTTTTGGAGGTGATGAAGAGTGATTAAATTCTGGTATTGTTTTCAGAGATACTGGCAGGGTTTGCAGGTTTGTATACAGAGTGTAAGTGACAGAAATCAAGACCTAAATGCTCAAGAATGGTCCCAAAATGTGGGAATAACTGAGGACCTAAAGGGGCCATAAGTAGAGAAGGTGAACAGTCTACAGTAATCTGTGAGTACTATTTACTAAAGACTAAAGAGAACAATAGTCACCTCACATCAGATGACATTACTGACCACATCCATCACCCACCTACCCAAATTCTGTGGTACAATATAAAATCCTCAACATTTGAACACAAGTGAGGAAAATCCCAAATTTTGTGGTTAGTTTTCCTCCACTTAGTGGGCTGAGATTTCAAAAGAGAAAATAGGTTGAATTATGAAAAAGTAAATAAAACTTTATTTCTGTACACCTAAGTCGTGGGCTGAGATTTTTACCTGCTATATTCATCAAGCATTTGGTTCATGCCTCTAAGATCACCTTATCATTAGTTACCAGCATTGGTAATTATTGGTTAACCTGTCTGTTTTCTACATTAAACTGAGGGATCCTGGTCAGTAAGAACTATGTTGTATTCTTTAAAAAAAAAAAAATCTTAGCATGATGTTTGGAAAATAGGACAGTCTTATGAAATATTGACCAGATATATGTACGGATAAATTAATTACATTTTTCCTAGTCGTAAAGAGAGAATGCTAAGAAGCACAGATAAGGTAATGAAACGTGACTGCTGTGAATAACAATAGATGCTAAGAAGTTATGGGGTAGAGTGAAATTTACACTTATAAAGGGAGAGGCCTTTTAGCAACATATAAAATTTCGTTTTTAAAAATATTCTTCAGAGTGGCTGCTAATGGACATGGGGTTTCTTGTTGGAGAGATAAAAATCTTCTAAAATTAGACTGTGATGATAGCTGTCATATAACTGTGAATTTACTAAAATTTATTGAACTATACACTTTTAATGGGTGATTTTATGGTATGTGAATTATATCTCAAAACTGTTTTTACAAAAAGCCCTCCCTAAAAGGGCACGAGGGCAAAAAAAAAAAATTTACTTCAGTCCACAAAGTACATAGCCGCAATAAGTAATTGCATACTGGAACAGATATAAAAAGACTGTATGAGGCAAATGAAGTCTTCTGGGAACCTCCAGATGCTGGAGACACAGTGAGTTACGCCACCACCAGGAAGTGGCCTCTCAGCTCTGTGACGGTCTCTGACAAGGCGAAATAAATCTCCTGGTCAGCTCAGATCTCCCATGGAATTTAAAGCCTCCTCAGCCTTCTGAGTCAGCCTGAGAGGGACAGACAGAACCGCTGTATGGGCTCTGTAAGTAAAATTGTTTTGTTCAGTGAAAACACTCTACTCAGAATGAGTTAAGCTTTCTTATTCACAGGGAAGAATTTCCTTACATTGTACAAAATTAGATTAGTGAAGTAGTAGACTTCGGTGGATGGTGATTCGAATTTGTAGAATTATTTATTCCCAGGATATCTGTAGAGAATGGGCACATTGTTCTGCCTGGTGTGGGCTAGATAGCTGGTTGTTCGTTAGTCAAATGACTTAATTAGTGTGCTAATATGTTTATCATAGTGGTTGGGTGCTTGATAAAACAAAAGAGGTCGTCAGAGGCTGAAAATCCATTTCTAAGCCCAATGATTCTTACTTAAAGTGAAAAAAAATACAAATTTTGAACACTTATTGCATCGCAGGCACTGTTATTAGGCACAATGCATATTCTATCACATAGATGAAGAAAGTAGATCGAAGAAAACTTATATTACTTGCAGGCGATACAATAGTTTTTGAGAGCATGAGCCTTGGAATTAAAAAGAACTAGGTTCAGAATCCCAGCTCTGACATTCACTAATTGTGTGTGATCCTGAATATGTTTCATAAACTCTCTGACACTCAGTTTCTTTATCAGAATGAAATGAATTTAAACTGAATTTAATAATACTTGCCACATAGTGTTGACTAAGAATTAAAAGAGAATGTTTATAAAGTGCTTAGCATAGTAACATTCATGGAACAAGTTCCAATAAATGGTAGCCATTGTTATGAGTAACATTTTTCATTATTATTGTTGTACAGATTTCAAAACTAATTAGTATTTGAACAAGGATCTCGACCCAGATCAGTCACACACTATAGCCATGCCACTGACAATGGCTTGGACAATAGCAATAATATCGTAGGGTCTAATTCAGCAGTTAAAGACATAACCACAAGCTACAGCTCATAACAGTGAAATAGAAGAAGAGCATCATTGCAATCTAAGTGGACAGAAGAGACTATAGCTTATTTCTCACAAGAGAAAATTAAGGTTGTGCATGGATTAGAGAGGACGAATTAAACAGATTTGAGGGTGATAGCAGTGTAAAAGAGTAGCTTGAGGGAATTATAGTGCCTCCCCCTAATAATAACTATTAGTTCTTCTTTATTTTTATATGAACAATTACATTTTTTCGATGTAAGAAAACACAATAAAATACAGCTTCAAGTACTTAGTCGTCACATGTAGGCTCCAGTTTTTGACATTTCAGAAGTAGAATCAATAAAAAAGTTAAAGAATATTTGTATGTAGAGGATGAGAGAGAGGAAGAAGAATGTGTTCCATATGTCTGTGTGCATGAGGAAGGTAATTCTAATTAGATGATATGCTAGAGTTTGACATAATTTACTAATAAATAAAGCATAGGAGAGAGAGCCAGGTTTGGAATGGGGGAAGGAACATGCTCTGTTTGGTTCATATTGAGGTTGAGGTAACGGAAGGATAATGAGTGAAGAAGATATCCCTCAGGGGGAGATAAAAATTTTATTCACCTTTTATTCACTGCTACTAAGTTTTAATTTGTTCTTCAAACTACTGCCATTTATTTTTCTAAATTGTTGATTTGATCTCCTCACTCTAGTTCTATGATTTGTTACTGCCTTCATGTTTAAGCCCAGAAATCTTGCCATAACCTTATAAATCCTGTCAACTTTTAAAACATAAAACTCAGGAGAGGCCATCATTAGATTTCAGATTTGAAAGTCATCTAGATTAAAAAAAAAAATGCTATTTAAAGCAATGGGAATAATTAAGATATCCCAATGAGAATACATGGTAAACAAGAAAAGAGAGACCTCTTGGAAGAAAACCAAACTCCTAAAGAAGACCACAGTTAATAGACAGAGAACAAAAATATTGTGTGGTAATGGGAAAAAACCTACAGAATAACTATTATTGAAGGTAATGAAGGAGTAAGTTTCAAAGGGGAGGTGGTCAACATTGAAAAAAAATGAGATGAGAGAGAGAGAGATGCAAATCTGAAAATAAATTTTGGGACTTGGTATTTAGAAAAGTTATTGATGACAGTTGGAGAATTTCCTGTGAGTCATTGGAGAAAGATTCCAAATGGTTACTGAAAGTGAAGGAAATAAACAAAACTAGGTTGTTCAAAGAACACTTTTTTGTCACAAAATACATGGCAGAAAATGGAAGGCAGACAGGGTTTATGTCTCACCGCTCTCACTAGCTAAGCATAATGGCCAGTTATAAGAAATGATCAATGTATCTTAGTTGAATTGATGTGTGTTGAAAATACCTACATAAGTGTGGGAAGCTTTCATTAATGAATTGGGGTAAAATTTGAATGTTGTAGAATGCACAAAGAGAGCTGATGGTATAAAATAAGATACTAAAGAAGGCAAAGAATTTTGTTGGAATTATATTAGAAGAGATGGAGAATGATTTGTTTACTTATTCATAAAATACTTGGACACGCCAGACTCTTGAGGTTCTGCAACTAAAATGTAAGCTTTTTTGTCCTTTCCATGGAATGCAAGATTTTCATGTCCTGACCCCTGCCGATTTCTTCAGCTTCATATTAAAAGCTCTAACATATCAATTTTTTTGTAGTTGTTTTAAAAAAAACAAAAAACTGTATTTTGTTGTTATTTTATTCAGTCTCAGCTTGTGTTTTTATGTCACAAGGATGATTTTCACCCTTATGAACTCACATCCATTCATCAAAACTTTACATTGTTTCATCTACTCTGTTAAGATTTCCTGAAATTAATGTTTCTTGGTACACACACAGACACATTCTTGTATATGCACACTCAGAATCTGTCATTCCACATTATTTCTGTCTTATCATTTAGAATCATCTTATCCTTGTGCACTCTACAACTAGCAGCATTTCTTTGTCTCTGACTCCTTTGATATGTGCCTAAAACTGTGCCTGGCATGTAGTAGGTGTTCCAAATTGGTAATTTTTTTATTTTCAGAAGACTCACAGGTCTGTTATCAAAGATAAGTTTTCAGCCTTATAAGAACAAAGTTGTGGCAACCTCTCTGGTTTTCTGAGGCACCAAACCATTGTTATTTTACTTGCTTTATATCTTTAGTGCTGACATAACACAGGGTGAGCTCTCAGTTTAATATTGAAACAAACTAAGTGTTTTTGATGGATGATCAAGAGCTTAGGTGGAGTTACTGGCTATGAAAGGGAATAAAGTCTCCCCTGTGTCTGAGCACAGTGTAGATGAAGAGAGGGGGCAGGAAAGTGGCTGCAGAGCAATGAGAAGAAAGGAATTTGAGGGAGTTTTCTGTCGGGCTCAGCACAGATCAGTTCAACCTATACTCTATGTATTTCTCCTGATCTCTCATCCGGAAAAAGAAGGGAAAAAACTGACAAGAATGAAAATGAGCAATGAATAAATTATTTGGATTAATTAATAATATAAGGGGAGCCATGAAGAAGTTAGGATGAAAGAGAATGTGTTCAGATAGCAATTTATTCTTTTAAAAACTGATATTTTATTTAAAAATTTCCTAGAACGCAATGAGAAAAGTTACAATTACAACTCAAACATTGTATATCATCATGATAATCATTACGAAAATCATCATGACAGCCGCCAGAATTAATCAACATATATGAGGACCTCTGCACTCCCATAATCGTTTTTATTATTCATCATTGTATATTAGGTATTAAAGTTATTTATGAACAGCACTATTTGTTTTCCCTCACTTGATTACAAACTAAGAGGGATTTTGTTTATGTTGTGCCTAGTTTCTGACATAGCAACATGCACAAAGTAGGTGCTCAGTAAATATCTCTGAGTGTGTAAGGCAAGATCAAAGGAAGAGGTATTATAAGTTCATTCTGGTGTGACGCTTTTCACATATGCCATTTTAAAAGCCTGAGAATATTTCATCTAAACTAACACAAAATGTAGAAGTCTTTGAAGCACTAATTATCCTGAATAGCCTTCACCAAATACCCCCAAAACTTTTGTACATAGAATGAAATGTTCTCTTTTTGATAATTACTTTCCAGCAACCCCAGGAAGTTAACTTCAAAAACTGAGTCCCAAGTTCTGTGAATTAATAGCAAATAAATGGGTCAAAGATTTATGGAGAATGAGAGGCAAACCTACTATTTTAAATTATAAGTATCATTCATTTAATAAATACATTTTTCGTGTATCCTTCTGATCAATATGTATTTTTGAAAACTATAGTTCCTAAAAACGTTTTTCAGAAACCAATCTATTTATGAAAAGTGCTAATAGGATATGTTAACCTTTTAAACTTTCATAATTAATTGTGAAATTCATGCCAGTTGGGCAAGACTTCATTTCTGTATAATGCCTGCTGTATTCATGACATTCGATAAAGGGTTATTGGAAGTAGTGTCAAAAAATGTTCCCTTTTCGTTAACTCTTATTTCCATTACGAGATTTGATAATACATCTCTGACAGTAGTTTCATTGGTTCCCTGAGGATACTCTCACTAAACTTTAAGCTCTAAACTTATAGTTTATATATTTTTGTTAACTCCTAGGAGTAACTTAACACTTTTTTTTCCTCTAATTTTATGCTTAAAATTTTCCCCATTTTAAACTAGCATTTCTTAAAAGAATCTGTGAGGTGGCACTTTATCTGGATGAACTCGTGTGGCCTAGGAATGCTTAGTTTCCCTGAGGAACAGTTATCTTACCGCTGGCTACTTCTCACTGTTGGAGCCCCCTCCAGCCACAACCCTAGTCTCTGTTTTTTCCCTGGCCACTCTCCCAACTCATACATACCCACCTGTTTGCAATTCTCTACTCAATGAAAAAAGAAACGTGCTGTTTGCCATAAAATTATATCTTTCCCTCCAAAACAGTAATATTGTATTAGGTATCTTTCGAAAAGTATGTCTTAACAAAGTGAAGAAAATCTGTTCTGGAGAACAAGTCTTCAGGCGGATTGAAGAAAGAAATATATTCGAACATGGAAGCACATTATGTCAAGTGGGGGCAGAGGCCTCTGTTCTTATGGTGGTAGGTCTGTGTTCTAACTCTCCTTCTCTCCCAAATGTGACACCAGATGTTGCCATCCAAGTGTCACTGTAAAGGTTAGATACTGTAGACATCTTCACATGACTAACTGGGGCCTAAACCATTTATTATTTCATATGTGTTACTTTTATTATAAGTATCTCTTCCTCAATATGTTCCAATTCCCTAAGAGTCTTTGCTTTTCTATGCTTATGGCTGATGTAATACTGCTGTTCCATAGCCCCAATCTAGTTTTCTCCAATGCCAACTATACAAAAAAACTAAACTGCTACATCTTTATTACACTTAAAACATTCCAAAAAGAATAAAATATTATTTGCCAATCTTGGATAGTGTCTTTACTTAGTCTAATCACCTCTGAGTAGAGGAGTGAAAGGAAAGGTTGTATGGTATAAACATAGCGACCGACAAAGGTCCCAAGGGAACAAAAATTATGGACTGAGACAAACAAAAAAATAAAAATAAAAATAAAGTTTAAATGGTACTTGCTACAGCAATTGAAATCTTACTTTTATCAATTTAAATGAGCCAATCATATTTATGTATTATACAGATATTCATCTTTGGTTGGTTTGGGGTTCAATAATATTATTCGTAACTGGATTAATTTTTTTAAAATGTAGTTTTATTGTTACAGAGTTTCACCTTCGAATTCTGTACTCTTAGTCCAGCATGTCCAACTCCCAGAATACCACATCCTCTTCCATCATTTTC